AGAAACACAGGGCTATGTGACGCACCTGCGGATCCAGAAGTGGATCATGAAAAGACGTCAAGGCAGATAATCATAGCCAAAATCTCGACAAGCACCAAGCTACCTGGGATCAACAGGGTGACACCGCCACTTGTGATGCCATTAATGGATAACGGAGCAATTGAAGAAGCCTTGACCAACATAGTGGGCAGCATAGGAGAACAAAATGAATAGATATTCTTAAGAATGAGTGAACTAGAAAGGGCAGTGCACGTCGAGATAGAAAATCTGCACGAAGAGATCAACCGCAACAAGAAGTTAGTAGAAGCGAAAAACGTTTGAAGGAGAGAACGGACGAACACTTGGCGAAGAACTTGTCGCGAATGACGAGGGAAGCTAGCAAAGGGAGCTACGATTGAGAGACGACATGGAGAAGTTGAGAATTCAACTGGATCAGACTCTTGGGACCCTTGACACGAAGATAGATGCGATGATGGAGAGGAGATCTCAGGCTATCATGGATAGGTTAGACGGGCTACTAGGCAGCAGGAGTGGGTCAAAAATGGGGAATCGAACTCGGGAGAACCCAGCAGGGAGCCGAGGGTGAACTTCAATGAACAACAGAATAGAAGAAGGACATATGGATCCACTAGAGGAAGGGGCAGTTCATCAAGTTATGCCACAGGGGACAATAGAACACGGGGCCCAAACATCAGAGGAAGCTCAACTGGCAACAGACAGACCTCAAAGGAACGACCGATGCAAGGTACATATGCGACTGGGAGACTTTATTCCAGGAACAGGAGTCATGCGAGTCAAGGAAGAAATAATCCCAGCGATTTGGACAGGAGGGACAATCCAGAGACGTTATCAGGGGGCAATGATACTCAGGCGGGGCATTCAAGAGATGCTACATCAATGGCGATATGTACTTCCGGGCGAATGTTACATAGATGTCTTTATGACGCTCCTGGGGTTATTTTTTTTAACATCATGACGGGCAGAACCGTTAACGAGCACTCCGCGCCGAGCGGATGCTCAAAACAACGCGCTAACCAACGGGGCAGAAGGGTAGTTCGGAACGCGAAAGCCTTCCGGATCCCCGTGATAAGCTTTTTAACCCAGTTAAGACCGAAAATTCACGAATTAGGAAGGGTGGGGGATTCGCGGTCCCGTCATTTTCTGAGTGGTACGTGACCAAAAACACTTAAAGATATACAAGAAACCAAACAAAAAAACAAAAACAGTAAAAAAGTATAAAATCAGTAGAAATCATCCCCCCAGACGAGATGTGATCCGACGCTCCCGTTTGTTGTTGTTAGATAAATTGTTGTTACAGGCATTTATATCAGTTAGGATCGTTACGATCAATTGTGTGGCCCACTTGTGGTGCTTGTACTGTAGGGTTATTTGAGTATTTAAGCACGTTAACGCTAATTTGAGCTCAATCTGGAAGGGTCTCGGGATTAGAGAAGAAAACTGATCCGGCAAGCAGTTCAAGGGGCGACAAGAAGGGGATCAAGGACAACAACAATCGACTGTTTGGTATCGTTAAAAGTTTTGATTCCCTTTTGGTACAAAAAGTAGGATATTACTCTGTGGAGGGCTCGACAGTGACTGCACTGTAGTGACCCTTCAGCGGACTGCGAATTTCCTTGTTAAGTACCCTAATTCGGAGATTGAACGAACCCGGAGGGGTAAATTATTACTATAATTATTAATTATACAGCCTATCTTAAGACTCCTATATCGTTTATCAATGAAAAACACAGTAAGCGGACCGGTTTTTAGGGTCAAAAAAGTGATATTTTGATCCCCCCACAAATCGCGATTTTTGAGATATCGATGTTTTTTGAAACGGAAAAAAGCGCTAAATTTGTGAGTTACATCTTAACTATACTAGTATAGTAGGTAGAACAGGTTAAGTTTAGTTCGGAAGTGGTTGGAACTAATTGGGTACCAAAAACTGAATTTCCTTGATTTTTGAAGAAACGAAACGCTACAAAAGAAGAAAATTTTTAAAAATGTTTGAGTTAGGACAGTAAAAATTGCTGTTCGGACAACGTGCACTAGTGAATCGACAGGTTTCCAAACCCGTTTGCCGATAACCTTCCAGGTTACAGTAAAATCGATTTTAACGAGTTTGATTTAGTGGATTCAACGATCCGAGAGGTTCAAATAGCAGTGTTTTTGGCAAATTTGTTCAACTGGAACGTTTTAGATTGGATTTTTTGCATTGAACTAGAAGAGTATTGGCCTTCTAAGCTCGGATCAATAATTTTTATGTCGAAAAGAACAGATTTGCGGAAAAAGTTAGGCGGAACCTATATGAGAGGATACTTTTTGTTTTTAGAAAAAAGACGTTTTGGATAATAACTTTGGAACTACTGGACAGATCTACTTGATCTTGGTAGCATTAGATCACAATTTAGATGAGCTTTTTCAAAAAAACATCAATTATTCAAAAAAAAAGCGTGAAACTTTTTCAAGATTGTTTTTAGCAAACTCACTGATTCGGGAAGGTAGACCCTTCACGTTTTATAATTTTTTTTGGAAAGTCTTTACACCCCTACCAAAGAGTAGCAAAGGTTAAATATGGCAATTTTATGCTGTTATAGATGGAATGGGAAGGCTAAGGAAACCAGAAAACCATAGTAGAGTTGAAACTAGGCTAGTGATAAGACCCTTCACAGTTAAGGTGGATTGTCAAATAAGAGGCTTAGCTTCAATCCGGAAGGGTCTAGGGAAAGAAAATACACCCTTTATAGTTAGTTCCATTAGCATAATAGCATCGGAGAACGTATCCGGAAGGGTATCGGGTGAAATTTTTGAAAGTCTTTCAAAAGCTATTTTTACAAACCCGGAGGGGTCCCAATCCGGAAGGGTCCCAATTTTGCCAATCCGGAAGGGTCCCAATTTTGCCAATCCGGAAGTGTCCCAATTTTGCCAATCCGAAATGGTCCCAATTTTGCCAATCCGAAGGGTCCCAATTTTGCAAATCCGGAAGGGTCCCAATTTCGCCAATCCGAAAGGTCCCAAGTTTGCCAATACGGAAGGGTCCCAATTTTGCCAATCCGGAAGGATTCCAATTTTTCCAATCCGGAAGGGTCCCAATTCTGCCAATCCGGAAGGATCCCAATTTTGGCAATCCGAAGGAGCCTTGTTCTTGCCAATCCGGAAGGACCCCATTTTTGCCAATCCGGAAGGGTCCCAATTTTGCCAATCCGGAAGGGTCCCAATTTTTCCAATCGGGAAGGGTCCCAATTTTGCCAATCCGACAGGGTCCCAGTTCTGCCAATCCGGAGGGGTACTACTTTTGCCAACCCGGAGGGGTCCTAATTTTGTTAGAACTTAAGTAGAAAGAAGAAAAGAGAATAGTGAAAGGTATTAGGTTATTAAGAGACAGGCTAGGAACCAGTGAATGCACTGGTAACTTGCCTTTTATAAAAGACCGGACCAAAACAAAACAGGTGAAAACTCGATATTCGATATTCGCGACACTAAGTCTAGATTGAACAAGAACTTGCAACTGATTTGTGTGGATTGAAATCAAAATAGTTTTTGGGAAAGTGATTGCCCTGAGGATCTTAGTATGTCTAGCTCGGGCAACCCGAAGGCAGTTAGGTAACACAGGGCTCAGTGGGTGCAAAAGACGCCCACTTTAGAAAATTACTGCCTTCAAGTTTTGTCTAACTGGTGCAGCACGGAAGGCAAAGCTCATTCTTTAGACACAAGTTCGGCTATCACATTGCGACTGACTAAAACACGAAACACATACGTTTTTCCTTGAAAATATTCCTATTTTTCTTCATTTTTGGTTTTAAATCATAAATGTTTGTATTTGATTGGGTAGTGAGAACACTATCTTATAATATGTTGATATCATCAGACTGTGCTAGCTTCATATCTTACAACTAATAAACATTAGTTAATATGAATAAATTGTATACACTATTACACACTGTACTGTGATAACATACAAGGATTCGTGGTCACTGTTTAAATGAAACTTCTGGAATTTTTTGTGTTGTGTTATTATTATCAGTTAACAATGAGTACACTAGCAATCGAATTGAGTGTATAGGCAGTAAGAAGTGATAACTTGAAAATGAGTCTAGACATTTCGAGGATACCTAAACTAAGTGATAGCTCCGGTAAATTCAAACCAGAGAAACAGAGAAAAGCAATGAACGACCCTTTTGTGGAAAGGATCACACATCTCTATTGAAAATGTGGCGGCTACAAGATCACCCACAGACAACACCATGGTGCTTGGCGTGACGGAGAAACCGACAACGTCCTCATCGTTTTCCGAAAGAGTGAAAAACATTTTCAGAAACTTCTTTCCATTTACCATGGGAACGGGTACAGGCGATGAAGCAGAAACCCAGGAAGAAGAAGAGGACGATGACGGGCAAAATGACTTTGGATCTCAAGTTACTCGAGGAATGGTCCCGGAATCAAAACCCAGTCCAGGGGGGAGCGAGGTCCGGGGTTGACGATGGCCTAGGCCACACCCTCGGACCGATACCCCCTATCAAACCGAAGGGAAGTAGCCGATCCCGACGGACAATCAAGGCGATACTTAAAATTTCCAGGCGACACAGCAGGGTGTTGAGCTGGCTAAGACTGGTCAACGACATCGAACAAAATCCAGGCCCCGCAGGCGAGACGAGGAAAGAACAAAGACGGAAAGGAAGAGAAGAGAGACAAACAAGAAGAAACCAAAAGTGGTTGGACAGAGCTACGATGATGGGGAAGAGGAAAGCGACCATCATTTGGACGTGGAACATCCAAAGGGCGAGAGTCACTTTCCCGAGGAGAAACCGCTTCGCCGAAATTCTGAAAGAGGCGACAAAGAGAGAGGTGGAGGTCATCCTATTCACGGAGCTTCACGAAGAGACGGAAGGTCTCCAATGGATCAAATCGGGAGACTTGTACGGGGTCCTAGTGCACGGCAAGAAGAGCAGCATCTTTCTGAGAGACGTTTGGGCGACAAATTGGAAGGACCAAGGATACAGATGAAAACATGGCGAGAGAAGCACGTCAGTGGATGTGAATGCGGTCAAGTTTGTCGCTGCGTACCAGCCACTGTGGAACGCCGACCCTGTGGAGTTCGCGAGTTACAGGGAAGAACTGAATGAACAGATCCTCGGATGCGACAAGCACATAAAATTGATCATCGGAGGTGACTGGAACTCTAGCATAGGCGACACAAATAGGAGGACACAGGACAAGGTGGCCGGAGCATACGGCCTTGGTAACACGAACGCCGCGGGCAACGACTTGATAAATTGGTGTCATGAACACGAACTGGCGTGGACAAACTCTTTCTTCCGGCACAAGAAGAGGGGAACTTGGAAATGCCCAGCTAGGAAAAGCTGGCACAAGATAGACGGTTTCATGACAAGACAAAACCAACGTAGCCGTTTGGTGAAGAACGTGAGAACAGAGACGACGAGCCGGACACTGTCTGACCACAAACCGAAGATGATGGAGTGCTGGCTGCAGAAACCGAGGAAGGAGCCCGAGAGGAGACAGCAGAGAAGCACAAACATCAACTGGGACAAGCTGAGAGACCCAGCCACGAAACAGCAGTTCCGGACATCGGTTGGCGAGGCATTGAGTCGTTCGGAGATGACGTGGAAAGAACTAATCAAAAAAGTTAGAGAGGCGGGAAAAAACATTTGCGGTCATGTGGAAAAGACAAACCTGAACCCGTGGATGGATACACACAACGAGGAGATCAAGTCCTTCCAAATGAGGATCAGCCAGGTTACAAGAGCCATCGAAACTGCCGAAGGACTCGTGGAAAGGACGGAAAAAATATTGGCGAGAAAAAACATACGAAAAGAGTATAAGAAGGAGAAGAGAAGATGGGAGCTCGACTGGTGGCTTAACTTCGTAGAAGAAGTCAAAGAAGCCGAACAAAGAGGAGACACAAGACAAATGTACAAAACCCTGAAGAAATTGGGATGCAAGGATCTGAGGATCTTTGAAGAAAAACACTTCAGTCCTGACGAATTCAGGGAACACTTCATGAAAGTTTCGGAAAACCGCTTCGAGAGAGAAATATCCGAGATCATGGAAACGGCGGCAAGTACGACAAAGAGGACAGACGAAGAAGCAGCGAACGCGGCAAAACACTTGGAGCGAGAGATCACATTTGCCGAGTTCCAAAGGGAGCTCGGAAAGATAAAGGACGGGGCCCCTGGCTGCGAGAGCGTCAGAGTGAGCGCAAGGAAAAACCTGAACGACGACGCAAAGAGACAGTTGTTCCAGGGAATGCTTCACCACTTGGACACTCCCATCGCTCAATGGCCTGAAGAAACGGCAGAAGGTTGGATGATCCCCCTATACAAGAAAGGCACAAAGATGGACATGGGAAACTACAGAGGTGTGTGCTTACTCCCTCTGATCAGCAGAATAGTGGCCTGCATCTTCGCGTCTCGGATCAGAGAGTGGGCAGAGGAGCTCAAGGTCCTTGGCGAGAACCAGAACGGGTTCCGCACGGGGAGATCTACTTGTGGCGCTACCCAGATAATCTTGCGGATCGACGAAGAAACCAGACGCGTACTTGGCAACAGCAACGACGAGACGGAGGACAGACCGGGAGCGGTGTTGCTTGACATCACAAAGGCCTACCCGAGGGTCAATAGACCGCTGCTATGGAGCTTATTAGAGAACTTGGACATGACAAAGAAAGTCTGAGAAAGCGTGGGCCAAGGTGAAGAAATGGCTATGGAAGTCGAAGCTGAGCAAGAGAACAAGAGCTCTCGTCGTACAAGCGGTCGTAGAGTCGTCCCTTCTTTTCGACTGCAACGCTAGACCGTGGACTGTTGGAGACCTCAACAGATTCCAGAGCGTGGTAGACAGGTTCTACAGATACATCTGAAACAACGGAAAGGGACTGCCGCTCGTTCGTATGCAAGAAGAAGGCGTCAACGGCTACGACGAGGTCAGGAGACAGCTTGGAATTACATCGATCCGTTCCAAAGTGGAGATAAGTGCTCTGGAGCGCATTGGACATGTTCTCCGTATGCCAAACGAAAGGATGACGAAGAAAGTTGTTTTGGGGAGTTGGCTTGAGGAGAAAACCGAGAATGGAAAACTGACCGGTGGACTAATCGCATATTGGAAACGGCTGATTGGAGAAACAGGAGAGGACTGGACCAACATCGAAAACCTGAAAAAAAACAGGAAAACGTGGAAGACACTCATAAACAACCGGAAAGCTAATCTGACACGGTGGGAAACAGACATGTGCGACCACACCAGAGGCCACACAAAGCCCACGAGAATCCAAGCCAGAGTAGTGGAGGACGGCTTCAGTTGCAGGTGGACCGGTTGCGACAAAATTTGCAGAAGCAACACGAGCGCAGAATGCACAGAGAAACCACGCTCGAGTTTGCCTGCCCCAAGTGCAAGACAACCTTCAAGGAAAAGAGCAGTCAGACAAACCACACAAAAGCCTGCGGCGGAGCCCCCAGATGAGTATGTTCGGACTGTGGAAAGAGTGTGTCTGTATCAAACATGGCTAGACACAGGAAAACCAACTGCCGAAACGCACCGATAAACAGAAATAACGAGACGACAATAATACGAACCAGAGAAAACAAACAATGCGACATATATGGGGCATGGATCACGAAGTCAAACATAGCGAGACACAAAAATGTGTCATGCACGGGATATACCCGCGAAGGCTCTATATAGAGCGTAACTGGCAAAGAAGAAGAAGAAGAAGATCTCAAGTCAGCCTCAATAGCTTGACTCAGGAGAATCACGCATACACCAATAGAGATACTGATACCATGGACCAATTTGGTGTGGCGAGGACAATAAGCAAGATCACAAACGGATCAGGCCAGTCAGGAGACTTGGTGAACATGACGAATTCGGAGATGCGAACTTCGAAGAATAGAAACACAGGGCTATGTGACGCACCTGCGGATCCAGAAGTGGATCATGAAAAGACGTCGAGGCATAGAATCATAGCCAGAATCTCGACCAGCACCAAGCTACCTGGGATCAGCAGGGTGACACCGCCACTTGTGACGCCATTAGTGGTTAACGGAACAATTGAAGAAGCCTTGACCAACATAGTGGGCAGCATAGGAGAACAAAACGAATAGATATTCTTAAGAATGAGTGAACTAGAAAGGGCAGTGCACGTCGAGATAGAAAATCTGCAGGAAGAGATCAACCGCGACAAGAAGTTAGTAGAAGCGAAAAACGTTTGAAGGAGAGAACGGACGAACACTTGGCGAAGAACTTGTCGCGAATGACGAGGGAAGCTGAGAAAAGGGAGCTACGATTGAGAGACGACATGGAGAAGTTGAGAATTCAACTGGATCAGACTCTTGGGACCCTTGACACGAAGATAGATGCGATGATGGAGAGGAGAACTCAGGCTATCATGGATAGTTAGACGGGCTACTAGGCAGCAGGAGTGGGTCAAAAATGGGGAATCGAATTCGGGAGAACCCAGCAGGGAGCTGAGGGTGAACTTCAATGAACAACAGAATAGGAGAACGACATATGGATCCACTAGAGGAAGGGGCAATTCATCAAGCTACGCCACAGGGGACAAAAGAACACGGGGCCCAAACATCAGAGGAAGCTCAACTGGCAACAGACAGACCTCAAAGGAACGACCGGCGCAAGGTACATATGCGACTGGGAGATTTTATTCCAGGAACAGGAGTCATGCGATTCAAGGAAGAAACAATCCCAGCGATTCGGACAGGAGGGACAATCCAGAGACTTTATCAGGGGGTAATGATACTCAGGCGGGGCATTCAAGAGATGCTACATCAAGGGCCACGGCCTTTGAACCTCTGAACAGGTATTTGGAAACATTCCTGACGAGGTTATCTAGAACCAATGAATGTAGTGAAAAGTCCAGAAGGGTTTTTAAGAAACCAAGACACTATAAAGACGAATCTGATGGCTATATTGATACCTGGATAGAAGTGATGAAACTGCATTTTGAAGAAGAGGACTTGTCAGAAAGAAAAGAATGCTGTGCTCTTACCAGCAATTTGGAAGGGACAGCCCTAAACTGTGTGATGGCCAAAAAGCAATACCAGCAGTATACCGCTGAGAAAATCTTTGAAATTTTGTTAAATCGTTTTGGCTCAGGGTTGCAAGGACAGCAAGCAATGATGCACTTCGAGAAACGGAGGCAACGTGAAGATGAGACGATAGACAAGTTTCTAGACTATTTGGAGATGCTGAGAAGGCGTAGCCAACCAGATGAGTCGAACAGAAGTTTGAACCTGGCAGTAGCCTCAAAAATCATCGATGGTGAGAAAAATGATGAGCTTCGAACAATGTTAGCGACATATTACACGCCACCCTCAACCAATGCGCCAACACCAGAGGAGTTGAGACTCAAGTCAAAAGATTATCTTTTGCTGAAGCCTCCATCGAGATCGAGATATTACAAGAACAATTATGGTAAACTTAACAATAATGGACCAGCAAACCAAGGAAATAACTGGTACAAACCAAGGGACGATATGGACAAGAGACGCTCTTGTGCAAATTGCAGTTCGGCGGACCATCATGTGTCAGCGTGCCGAACCTACAAAAACGGCATGAAAACAATAGCTTTAGCCTCGAGGATGAAGATGCGTCAGAGGTGTCGATCATGAAGATTTCCTGAGAGGAGTCATTGCGAAATTCGGCCCAAGGTGTTACTTCTGTAACTTGGAAGGTCATTTTGAATCGGATTGTCCACAATTCTGGAATGCTGTGGCGGACATCAAGCATCCAAGGCTTGAGGAAGCTTCATCGGGTGTGAAAGCCAGCGAGGCACGCAGAAAAGAAAAACCGCAAGAGCTGGCAACGAAGAAGATACAGGCGATAACGGAAGGGATGCGTGAACCGGAACCGGTGACTGCAGCGGATGACTTCAAGATCGACTATAGGGCAGCCGCGACGGATGCTATAATTAGAGTCCAGAAGGAGTTGGTGACGAAGGAGATCGAACAGAAGGTGAAGCTCGAATTTGAGAATGAGAAAATTCAGGAAAGGCTGAACGACTTCGAGGCATCAGAACTCGAAGAGACGAAAGCACCAAGCAGTTTGAGCATGCAACTAAGCATGATCTCTGGGCACACGTTCGGGATGGTGCCACAGGGAAGCAGAACACAGTCAATAATTCCAGTTGCTGTGCATCAGGTGATCAGCAATCTATGTGAACCGTCAGAGTTTACTATGATGCATTTAGAAACATATGCAGATTATATGAGACAGGTAGAGCCACGCACTGAGTCGATGGCTGTATGAGCGATGTTTACAACGGGTGGCCCTCGAACGAAGAAGCTCCACGGGCGTTACTTGGAAGTCTATGAACCTTATGAAGTGATGTTGAGCATTGACGGGATAAGTATCTACACTAGGACCTACGTCACAACAGATAGCGACCAAATAGGGCAGATCTATTTGGGACAGGAAGAATTTAAGGTCCGCAGAGTTGGCCATGACGCCATGGTGGAGCAAGACGCAGTTCACATCGAATACGAAGCAGATGCGACTGCACATCTGCTCGACACCAACGGGAAGAAAATCGGAAACACAGGGCTTCAGGACACTTGAGCGGTAGTAAGCGTGATACCGATAAAAATTTGGAAAAAAATGGGCTTCACGAGGGAAGACCTTATTCCGACGAATCTCCGACTGGCCGCTGCGAATCGAGGAGCAATTTACGTAGCCGGAAGAAGACCAATAACGGTCCTACACATGGGAGGACGGGTTCTTTGGATGAGCTTCCTGGTGGTAAAGAATTTGGACGACTCCGACCAGTTCATCCTGGGCAAAGATTTTGTCAGGAACTTCGATGTGATGATTGACTTGAACAACGGTCTAAAAAGGATTAGAAACCCGGACCGGAAGTATGAAGGAAACCAATTAATAGAATAATAACAGATGAAAACAAGGTACCAATCTTTTTAGATAGAAAGGTAAAACTACAGCCGGGACAAGCCGTAGTAGCAATTTTTAGAATGAGAAAATTGAATTCTTTAAGGTGTTAGTAAACAGGTTTGTTTGGCACCGAACCCAAATAGTCAAAATTCAGTGTTTTTGGGCCGGAGCTTCTCGGTAACTCGGGAAGGGTCCCAATTTTGCCAATCCAGAAGGATCCCATTTTTGGCAATCCGGAAGGGTCCCAATTTTGCCAATTCGGAAGGGTAACAATTTTTCCAATCCGGAAGGGTCTCAATTTTGCCAATTCGGAAGGGTCCCAATTCTGCCAATCCGAAGGGGTACTATTTTCGGCAATCCGGAGGGGTCCTATTTTTGCCAATCTGGAAGGGTTCCAATTTTGCCAATCCGGAGGGGTCTTGTTTTTGCCAATCCGGAAGGACCCCAATTTTGCCAATCGGGAAGGGTTCCAATTTTGCCAATCCGGAAGGGTCCCAATTTTGCCAATCCGGAGAGGTACTATTTTCGCCAATCCGGAGGGGTCCTAATTTTGTTAAGACAGTAGAAAAGAGAATAGTGAAAGGTATTAGGTTATTAAGGGACAGGCTAGGAACCAGTTACTGCACTGGGAACTTGCCTTTTATAAAAGACCGGACCAAAACAAAACAGGTCTAAATTCGGATATTCGCGACACTAAGTCTATATTGAACAAGAATTTGCAACTGATTTGTGTGGATTGAAATTCAAGTCGTTTTGGGAAATTGATTGCCCTGAGGACT